CCTATAACCGCAACGAAAGGGCAAATAAAAGCAATAGGGCACATTGGGGACTTTCTTTATGCTACACAACCCGGAAAGGACATCTATGTCTAGGTGAAAACCTAAGTGGTGACTCAAAGAAATCAATCCTATAAGAGTCCAGATGAAGTTAGGAACTTAGGATGGAGCTGCCCTAAGGAGACACCAAAAAATGAGAGTGCCTCAAGTATGAAAGGGTGTAGAGGAAAGCGGAGGCCGGTGACCAGCGCCTCCTTAAAGACACAGATGCCATCTCGGGTGTGGCTCCATGGAAATTGATCCAGGTGGGGCTGAATGCAGTTAAACTCATTGGGAGTCTGGAAACACTGAGATCAACTCTACTATGCATTCCCCACTTAGTTCGCCAGGGCCGAAGGGGGTGATCTCTGGCTCTTGCTAAGACAGCGAAGCCCCGGCCTGAGAGCCTTGTCGATTTAGTGATGAAGCCCCCTCTTCGACCCAAGGAAAATTTAAAGACCTACCTTTAGAACCGTATGAAGACATATTGGAAGAATAAAAGAAAGACTTACCAAGTTTGGGGAATAGAAACCAGTGGCGAGCAAGTGTCTACTGACGACCTAACAAGCGGTATTCCGATGAAACTCTCCTCTAGTCTGTCACCCACTCTGTCAACAAAAAACTCAGAACAGAGCGAGTGGGACCCTAGTGGGGACCCCCTATTTATAGCTTGTAGGTGGGAAAAATCGATGACCAGAATGCCCTATTGGCGAATCAACGGTTGAAAAGGCTGCACCGCATGCAGGTTGATTTGAATTTCAAATTTTTCGTGCCTGATTTGTGCACCCAATTTAAATTTCAAAATTCAAACTGCGCCACTTTTAGCCGAGTCGAGCAAACGAGCCAAGCGGTTTATGGACCAACCGGACAAATTACTAGACCGAAAGGAGTGACTGTGAAATACTCCCTTCGCTGAGCTAACGCCGACTCAGGAGTGGGGGCAATTAATGAGGGGTAATTTGGTCCTCCCAATAACATCAAGACACGTGGAAGCATTAGATAGCTAGATGACACCTCAATGTTGAGTAAGTAGATCACCTCGGAAGATCGACTAATAGCACCCTATCTAAGGCCGACCTAAAGTACCTCGGCCTGGCCGAGCTAAGGGACCTACGAATAAGGAGCGACCTCCTTTAGGGACTAGTCGAGCTAGCTTGGGTACAAGTGGTGACCTACAAGACATGCTCGCTGACCTGCCCCATAGGTCCATTTCATGACCAAGTTCTCTGGTGTAACGGTGCTTGACCGTTGAGTCCACCTACTTGCGTCGCCCACATCAAAATCAATCGGACGAACCTCAACTCTCTACGTGGATTATGTAACTGGCAGAGGTGTTCTCTCCCAGCTAAGCGGAAATGACTTCCCGAGAATCTTGGACCCGTTACAAGGGACCTCCAGTCCCTCGCACCTATATAAAAACATCATTCTCATTAGAGAATGTACGCACGATTTAGCTCTCACATACTCAAAGCTTTTAGCATTCCAATATTCTCTAAAGACTCCCAAATCGCTGACTTAAGCATCAGAGTGTCCACCCCAGGTAAAGTAACCTGGGCACTCTAATATTGTTCCCTTGCAGGTTTACTGATAAGACCAAATAACTCGCCACTATATAGCTCGGCATTTGAGTCACTTGCGAACGAGCAACATCCATATCGTGCACCATTAGAGTGTAAATAAAGATCGATATAAAATTCTACTCCAGTTTAGATTTGTTGGCATTTGGATATAGTAGAGTTTTATATCGTAAATCGATATAAACCTCATCAAATGTAAAATTTTATAAAAACTTTACACTTTTCACATTATGCTTTTCAAAGTGTAACAATCACTTCTCTGCAGTTAGATGTAAAAGGTCATTAGTGTAATTTTACACCAATGAGGTTTTAGAGTAATCCCAAACACAGCCCAATGAACCAGTCTCGTGTACATATCTTTTTTCCCTTGTTTTTCTTTGGAAACAAAAGTGTGCTTTACCTTTCCTCCCAATGTTAAAGGGAAACATCAAAGTTTAGGGGTGGGGGTGTATAAGGGTAAGTGATACCACCCAAGTGCAGGTGGTTATCTGTAATTTATTATATTATAAAAAAGAAATACCGACTACTCAATGGATAGTGTAACAGAAAAAATCTGTACACTCTTACAATTATTTTTTCTTTACTTTCTTTTAGGGATGAAAAGACTGTATTCATAAATCTGAAATTTCAGCCCCCCCTAATTTTACCTATAAATTGCATCTTATATATGAATTTAATATCGATTCACGATAAGATTCATCCCACCTGTACGGTGGAAAGGAATTATGGGTGATCTGAACAATAAAACCCTTTTACTTTTATATATGTCTATGACGTAAGCAGTGAGGAAAATTTCCTTTGCGGGATGCCAATGAGGCAATGACTCGAAACTAGTGGGCTTCTCCACCGCTCTCCGTCTTTGGCGAAATAATACTAACGATTTCTTTTGTTTTTCTTCTTTTTCATCATCCCTTCCTGTTTCATTTTATTTAATCAAATACCGGTAAGAGTGGGATTGCAGGAGAGTTCCATTGATAATTGAAAGTTGTTGTTGTATAACTTTTGTGCTGTTATTTACAGTAGATTAGATATCGGAGATGATGGTAAGTAGGACCCAATAAATATAATGGAACGAAACGATTGAGAAGGATTTCGAGAGAGATGGCGGTGGATCCATTGGGCTCTCTTGACTTGTGTGTTGCACAAGAGATATTTTGTTCCGCTGGCATTAAAGTGTTAACTATTTACAGTGTGTTGATAATGATGAATGTCATCACTTACTATGTATTTGGTTATGTGGGTGTTTATGGATGGATCGTTTATTTGTATTTTTTTTATTTTAAATGTTTTTTATTGTTTGGTTGGTTATTATTTTAATTGTTTTTATTTTTTATTGTAGGTTAATTCTCATTAAAGTGTGTCACATCATTATTTGGTTTTAAGTATGGTTTTTAAAACCGGACCGAAAAAATCGGGAACCGTGTTACCTGATTGGTTCTGTTTTTCCCCAAAATCGTTGATTTTGGTCAGCAAACCGCTAAACCGGCTGGTTAATCATTCAAACCGTTCGAATGGTTTTGACCGTTTTTCAAATTTTTAGTTTTTTCTTTTATTTTTTTTTGTTGGAACGGGCCGACCGTTTGGGTCGAACGCTTGGATCGTTCGAACCGTTAACCAGACCCCTAACCGGTTCGGTTTTAAAAACTATGGTTTCAAGAAACGTTAGGGTATTGAGGAAAGTAAGAATTTGACGTTTCTTCAAATACCCCATGCACAAAAAATAAAGTGTTTTATTATTGTACAATTTATTTAATAAAAGGTGAAATCAAACAGTTATTTCATTTCATATGCAATAAACACCAATGCTTTATGTGATGCTGATGTTGTGGTGTTTTTTAAATAAAGGTTTACGAAAACTAAACACAACTGTAATTTGACTTGTTGCTATTTAGGTCATGTTTAGCAAAAAAACTAGGTCGGTAGTAGTATGAGAATTATTTTTGAGACAATTGCTAAATTTTTTGGAAGCCAAAAAGATAAAGTTTCATTCATAAAATACTCAAATTACAATTACTGATTGATGATAACTATACATTGCTAGCCACATTTAATTTGGGGGTTAAGAGCATAAAGCAACATGAATTTACCGGACAAAATACTGGGTAGTTCCAATTAATTGAAGAATGAAATCTATTTGGAATGATTAATGAAGGAGAATATGTAATACTCTCCTGAACGAGAGAGTAACCAAGAGTTAAGTAAGAGAGAGACTAAGAGTAGAAATGTAGAATAATAGAATAGAACACTTTAAAAAAAAAAAAATTTATGTGCTCTGTTTTTTCATTACTAAAAAAAAGGAAGGAAACAAATAATGCATATTATATGTGAATTATATCCATACCACTCCAATGAGGTGTGCGCTTGTCGCGTAACCAGTGACGCAAACAAGATGGATTTAATCTGAACTAAAATGGATATTATTTGTAACCCATACGGCCATACTTGAACAACAAGAGATCGCCAACGCCATGCCCCCTAACTCCAGCTCAAGCTTGGACATTTTCATAATCAGTCCGTCCACCATCATCATCTATGGCGTGGGTGGGGTGGGACCCAATAAAATGCATCCAATACCGGATTAACTCTTATTAAAGCTCTTGCTTTCCTTTTTCCTACCCGGTATATCCATCCATTTGATTCTGGCCCGGCCCACTTCAAAGATCCATAAAATGCTAAGACTCGTTCTCATCATTTCATTACCAATGCCAAGTGCTAATTGCTAAACGCATTGGAGTTGGACCTAATACGCTTGAGGTTTGACCCGCATAGCGCATCCATTAGTTGGTGTTGGTGCGGTGATTCTCAAACTCATCTTTCATCGCCTTGATGAAGGTTGAAGTCTCAATCCGAAACAACGATTCCTTTGCCTTCAAATCCGCATGTAAGAACGCGACATAAGGAATACGGCTGTCTCTTTCTTGAAAACTCCCAACCTCCGAACTCGGATCTGCTCTCCCACTCCTACCCACACGACACTACAATCGTGCATAGGGAGATGCTCCCAATGCACGGCTGTAGCGTAGGGTGAGTAGGTGTGGGAGCGGTCCTGTGGAGATCAGAATGAAGCATCAGTTCCGGATTCCCAAGTCCCAACAACCACATGTGGGCCCCAAATTGGGATACGAAGACATTAGACATATTTCCATCAGTCACACTTTCTCCGGTCTCTGCTTTGGATTTGGGTCGCTGATTCTGGAATATCGTCTGGACTCTGGACTCTGGACTCTGGAGCATTTGGACTAGGGCTCTCTATTTTAGTTATTTATATTTTTGTCCCTCCACCGAAACTTGGTTGCTTAGAAGGCCAGTAAATCACAATAATATCTAACTAATAATAAAAACTTCCAAGCTAAGAAGCTAAGAGAGACACCTATTTATATAGAGCAGAGTCCCTGTGTAGTCGTATACCTTCCCTCTCTCTCACTCACTCACTCACCTACTCTATCTCTCTCCCTCTCTGCCGCCAAGATCCAAGAAGCAGCAATGGCCGCCAGTGCTTCATACAACCTTCTTTCTACTCCCTCCTTAAAGAAACAGATCTCTTCTTCCTCTCTTTCATGGAGACTTCCCCTTTCCTCCACCTTCCGCGTTTCCATCGCGGCTCCGCGACCGAAGCGCGCTGCCACCTTCATTGTGCTGGCAATGGACGCCAAGCCTACGGTTCTGGTGGCCGAGAAGCTAGGACAGGCTGGTCTTGAACTCTTGAAGGGCTTCGCTAACGTTGACTGCTCTTATAACTTGAGCCAGGAAGAGCTCTGCACCAAGATCTCACTCTGTGACGCTTTAATCGTCAGGAGCGGCACCAAAGTCACACGGGAAGTGTTCGAATCGTCCGGTGGTCGTCTCAAAGTGGTTGGCCGCGCTGGTGTTGGCATCGACAACGTCGATCTGTCGGCTGCGACTGAGCACGGGTGTCTTGTCGTTAATGCTCCCACCGCTAATACTGTTGCTGCCGCCGAGCACGGAATTGCTCTCATCGCCGCTATGTCTCGTAACATTGCTCAGGCTGATGCATCTGTCAAAGCCGGTCCGTATATCTTCTTCCACTATATTAAAACTTTATAATTCGAGTCTTTTATTTTGTTTCAGTCATTTCTTCGAGCAGTTTTTATTCTTTCTTTCAACAACCTGCCCTTGTGCATTTCACTAAGTAGTGTGTCCTCACGCTTGATCAGACAGAAAAGTTCTATGATCTGTTCACCACTATTTCGATACTTTGATTCATAAAATTTGTTTAATATCAAGTAACTTTTTAATATTTTTAGAAAGATTTTGCACATTGCTTGGCTGCTGATCTTTCCAAGTAAGCTGGAATTGGATTTCAGATCGGAGTAGTTATTACGGTTTGAATTTATCTGGTTTTCTTCCTTTTTAGTTAAGATGGTATGTAATATATATGTGGGCTAAGAATTTACTAAGGACATTGAAATGTGATTTTAGATATAATTCTTGATCGATTACGGTTTATAAAATATTCTATTGTTGTTTGTTATTAAGCAATTCTTTTTTTCACTAGAAAGGATGACTATGGAACTCTACATAGTGAGTGGTGCCACAATGGAATTAGGGGAACATAACATGATGGGGGAGGGGGGGTGGGGGCAGAGTAGGTTGGATGCAAGAAATCATTCATTCAATATCTAAGGTGGCGGAAGTTCTACCAATCAATCAGACTGGCATGTATAAATTATAGAAACTGGAATTTAAAGGGAAAAGTACGGAAACACACGATGCAGAATTCTGAATTCCAGCCTCCCCTACAACTAGTCCTCTCCCCCTATAAACCACATCCTGCCCGTGAATTTGGCATCAATTCACGGTCAGGATGCATTCCCCCTGTACTTTGGGCCTAGTAAATTCTGATCTGAGCTGATTGGTACTTCTCCCGAATTTAAAAGCTGGATGAATGTATCAAAGAAAAGATGAAGAAACGTACACACATGGCTGGGCCAAATATTCTACTCTGATGGGTTATTCATGGCAGCAACAAAGGGAAATCTAACCGTATGCTATAATTGATTTCTTTTTAACTCTTAACATTTTCGCCAATAAGATTGTGGTTTGGATCTGTACTGGTTTCAAGCCATGCTATAGACCAATGGGAAGAACAGGTGCAGTTTGCAGCCTATCTGGCAATTGAGTGAACTTGCTTATATTTTCTTCATGTCCATATGATTATCGAGTTTTCATTGAACTTCAATGCCTTGCAGTTATACATGTGAAATTTCTGGATCATATGTTTCCATGAAGTAATCCATAAAGTAATTCACCCGATTAGCTCTGATGATGATTTCAAATACTCTAATGAATAATGGTCTTTAGCTTAAAGTATTAGATTTAAATACCAATACCTGAATGTTATTTTGGTGACTCTAGGCAAGTGGCAGCGAAACAAGTATGTTGGTGTTTCACTCGTTGGAAAGACACTTGCTGTGATGGGGTTTGGAAAAGTTGGGTCGGAAGTTGCTAGGCGTGCCAAAGGGCTGGGCATGCATGTAATTGCACATGACCCATATGCCCCTGCAGACCGTGCCCGTGCAATAGGTGTGGAGTTGGTGTCTTTTGATCAAGCCATATCAACTGCAGATTTCATCTCATTACACATGCCTCTTACTCCTGCAACATCAAAAATTCTCAATGATGAATCCTTTGCAAAGATGAAGAAAGGTGTTCGCATTGTTAATGTTGCTCGTGGTGGTGTAATTGATGAAGAAGCTCTTGTGAGGGCACTGGATGCTGGGGTTGTTGCTCAGGTTATTCTCAATCATTTCTCAAAACCCATACTTTTCCTTATTTGTTAAACTATAGATAGAATAGTAAGTAACTTCTCTATTGTTTGATGTAGGCGGCGCTTGATGTCTTTACAGAAGAGCCACCTCCAAAAGACAGCAAACTGGTGCTACATGAAAATGTTACCGTTACTCCCCATCTTGGTGCCAGCACTGTGGAAGCTCAGGTGTGGTCAAATTTCAGATGTGGCATCTAGTGTCGTGCTTCATTCATTTCTTTTGCAAAGTCATTTTTAAGCTTCATTCATTTCTTTTGCAAAGTCATTTTTAACACTTGGATGCAATGTTCAGGAAGGAGTGGCCATTGAAATAGCTGAAGCTGTTGTTGGGGCCTTAAAGGGAGAGCTTGCAGCTACTGCTGTAAATGCACCCATGGTTCCAGCTGAGGTATCCTTTCCAAATACCTACATGTTACTAGTACTCCTTTATTTCATTTTGAAATCTCTAATGGAATAACCCTATTCTTTTTACTACCTTGAATTGGCTAATCCTAGTTTTTGACACCCTCATTTATAACTTTCTTTGAAGGTGGAAAACCTGCAAAATGTCCACATGATTTTCTTCATAAGTTGGACTTCATATTTTTGTCCTTGGTCCTGTTTCAAAATGTCCAGTCCTCTTGGTATCTTATATTCAGATGGAACTTGGGTGGTATTACCCTGTACGTGTACAGTTATGGGATGAACCATCTGATTAGTCTGATGTGTACGGTTATGCTACAAGGATGGCAGAACCTATCTTAGCTTTGGCTACTGGTTTAGGACTTTGAATCTCGGGGATTGCTAGCTGTATTGAAGCTCTTCTGTCAGAGATAGAAGATTCCTATACAGCAGTTTCTGGCCCTTCAATGCTCAATCGTGAAGCATTATTTGTTATATTGCATTTGATCCTCATCCGTGTGGGAAGTTCTAATCCAACAATTACCTCATATAGGATCCGGACGACTTGAAGATATAGCTTTCACTTCATGATTGTTGTGTTATGCGGAGCATGGATCTGAACAATGTCTTTTTTTTTTTTTTTCTTACCACAGGTCCTATCAGAACTTGCACCATTTGTTATACTGGCAGAGAAGCTTGGTAGACTGGCTGTGCAATTGGTAGCAGGTGGAAGTGGTGTTAAATCAGTCAAGGTCACATATGCTTCTTCTAGAGCTCCGGATGATCTGGACACTAGACTAATTCGTGCCATGATCACCAAAGGTCTTATCGAGCCCATATCCAGTGTATTTGTGAACTTGGTAAATGCTGATTTCACTGCCAAGCAAAGAGGATTGAGGATTACTGAGGAGCGAATCCTGCTGGATGGTTCACCTGAAAACCCGCTTGAATTCATCCAGGTTAAAATTGCCAATGTAGAATCAAAATTTGCCAGTGCCATATCGGATTCAGGGGAGATTACAGTTGAGGGAAGGGTAAAGGATGGGATACCCCACTTGACAAAAGTAGGATCGTTTGATGTGGATGTGAGCTTGGAAGGTAGCATTATCCTTTGTAGGCAAGTTGATCAGCCGGGTATGATTGGAAGGGTCGGTAGCGTCTTGGGTGGGGAGAACGTGAATGTGAGCTTCATGAGTGTTGGGAGGATTGCTCCAAGAACGCATGCAGTTATGGCAATTGGTGTGGATGAGGAACCCAACAAGGAGGCGCTAAAGAAAATTGGGGATATACCTGCCATTGAAGAGTTTGTTTTCCTCAAGCTGTAGTGGTGTCGTTATGAATCGAGTTCTTAAGGCCAATTTTCGTAGTAATCGCAAACATGTTTGGAGATAAGAGTATGTTTTTGTAATGCCTAAACCCAAGCCTTATCTTTTGTCGAGTGCATGGTTGTAAAAATACTTGATGGAGCTGGTTGTTGCCTTCTTAAGTGAATTTTTCATTGAGTATCAATGACTTTCTCTTCTTATCTGTTGACTGACTTGATGTAAAATTTATGCTCAATCGGACAGCTACGTGGTGGAACCCATTAGAACGTCTATATTCACATAATTATTACTCTACCTCAGCCATTTTTCTCGAATAGAACGTCTCGAGTTTTTGTTTTTTGTTTTTTGCACAATAGAACGTCTTGAGCTGAGGGCGCTATGTAAAATTACTCTACGGATCAGGTTACAATTTTGAAAAGCACAGATAGATTGGATGATTAGGATTAGGATATGCATGGATTTTTGTTTTGCTTTATTTCCTACCTTTTCCTTCAAACTAAATATAGCCTAAATGCAAACCAAAGCAACACAGTCAAATATAGACTCCATCAACACCCTGACAACAGATTCAATACAACGTGACCGACAAACCCTAAAGACTTCTAACTAACTACAAGGAATTTAAATCGAACAGCAAAAGCTTTAGACATCTAACAAGGAAAAGCATTGTCGAAACAGAACTGAGTCGAGAAGCCGACTTGGGCAATTTCTTGAGCTGCAGCATTTGAGCATCTTGGGGAGCACTGGAACCTGACAGCCCTTCCTTCTGCTAATTTTCAAATATCCTAGGTCAAATAGATAATAATTTAGGAGCACAAGCAAAGCTTGGATCGATTTAACTGTCAATAAGATGAGCGTTATCACTTTCTACAGTCACATCATAAATCTCCAACGTTGCAGCAGCCTTCAAAGCTTCACAAACCGCAACCACTTGGCGAAAGACAGCATCACCTCACAGTCTCTCATCAACAAACCAAAGACAGCCTTGTTGGAATCAAGAAAACCACCGTCAACATTAATCTTCAGCGATCTTTCCTCAAATGACAACCAAAAAGATTTCTTTGGCAGTAGCATCTTCATTTTGGGATGATCTCAACAGCAAGGTTTGATATCTCTCCAGTTGTAACATGTAGGGGCTGTTCATAAGAAGGTCCAATCCGACTAAACCAATCAATCCGGACCGATCCAATTCACGTTAGCCGGGTTTTCATCAGCACCGGTCAGTTTCAAGTTGTACAAATTCATAAACCGATGGTTCGGGTCGGTTTCGGTTTTCTTGTGTAAAAACCGAAACCAACCTGACCCGAACAGACTTAGTTCCTACTTAACTAAAAATTCAAATATCTGAAAATATATATTCCAATATATTTGTATGTATATTTTTGTTATATATAATATATATATATATATTTCTAAAATACATATTTCAGTTTTAAATATATTTCCAGAAAACTAGGTGGCCATGGGGGGTATGGATGAACTTAGAGCCAAAACCGACCCAAACCGACCCAACCCGACTCAAACCAACCAGGTCGGTTTTGCTTAACATTAGGTCGGTTTCGGTTTCCATTTCAGGTAACCCGACCAGGTCGGGTCGGTTGGAAAAACCTCAATAAACCGACCCAACCCGATTCGTGAACAGCCCTAGTAACATGTGAATCATTTTTGTCTTTTCATACTTTCTAGACAGCAATTGCAATATCTGCCAAGAGATTTAAACAATGGTTCTCATACAACTTCACATAAAATCATGCAAATGTATGATTAGATGATTGGGCAAAGTGTTGAACAGTAAAGAAACAACGTGTCAAGATTAGAAATAAAGTCATTCAAAAGAACCTAGAATGGTTGTAATTACTGACAAAATGAGAAAAAGTAGATTAAGATAATTTGATCAGGTGCATAAAAGACCGTTAATAGTATTCATAAAAAGAATTGATTTGTTGCAAGTTGAAGGGACTGAAGGGCTAAGGGTAAAGACCAAAAGGGACATGGATAGAAATAGTATCAAATGATTTAAGTGTCAATGATTTAACAATGAACAAAATAGAATGACGATTCATGTAGCCAACCCAATATAGTTGGGATAAGGCTTGAATGACGATAAAACCTAAAGCTTAAATAACTAAAAAAATATATAAATCATAAACACAAAAGACCACTTTCTAAAATTCTTTACCTTTTTCCATTTTTCCTAACTTACCCTGGTGATTCAAAACCTCTGAAGACCTCCCTGTTAGAGATTTTTTGTTATCTAAAACTTACCTTTCAGAGGCGACAAGTAGGGATGCAAATAGATAGAATTGACTAACTGTTTGGTTTGCAGGGATAGGAATTTGGAATTGGAATCAGAATCGGATTCCGATTCCAAATTGTTTGGTTGAATAGAATTAGAATCCCATTCCCATTCCTGATGGAATGACATTCTCTCATTTGAGGGGATGGCCTTTCTCTCTCCTTTCCTTGGGGATGAAATTTCACTCTTATTGATTCCAATTCTCATTCTCATTCCTCTCTGAACCAAACAGACTATGGGAATAGGCCATTCTGATTCCCAATTCTTACTGTATAATATTTCATAATCATAACTAACAGACTATAGGAATAGGCCATTCTGATTCAATCTATTAGTTATAATATAAATCATGTATACTATTTCATAACTATCAGATTGAATCAGATCTTATTGGATCAAATTAGGGGCATATCTGAAATCGATTCGACAACTTAACACACCCGATTTTTCTGATTCAAGTTAAGATCAAAAGAGTTATTTGAATATGGCTCTTATCGGATCAAATTTAGATTCGACCAAATCCAACTTATTTGCAGCCCTAGTGACAAGTCACTATTAATGACCATTAATACAATTTGTCCAGTTAGGCTAATAATTATTTTTAATGACCAATCTAACTTTAATCCTTTGTGAAATAATTATTTAAAAAAGAAAATTGGTGAAAAAAAATAAAATGTATTTCTTTTTTATAACCCGCTCATTTATTTGGCGGGTTGTATGATCAACCCGTCACCTAATCCACCCATTTAAATGGGTTGGGTTGTGGATAACCGTTGGGTTAATCATTAAAAATATTAATATTAATTCCTTAGCCTTTTTTTTTATTTTCTTCATTTGAATTAAATTATTTATAATTAATGCATTAATTTTCTATTAATTATTAACTAAATTTAGTTTTGTTTTGAATCAACACATTTCACCCAACGTAAATCCAAATCAATTTGACCCAAGTCAGGACTAGTCCAACACGGTTTGACCCGATCCAACATATACTGATCCAGGTCGACCTGAATCCGAAATAGACCTCGGACAGGATGGCTTGGTACCGCTTGCTTTGCCTGGTTTGGGTCGCCCGATCCAACCATTATTCACATAGCCCGGCTCAACCCGGTACAAGCTGATTCGGGTCGACCCAAATCCGAAACAGGTTGGTCCGGGTGGGGTCCAAACCCTAAACCACCCTACTTGCTTTATCCGGTTTGGATCGTCCAATTTGGTTCATATCTGTTCAACCCGATCCAAATTCAGCTTGGCCCAATTTACTTCTTTTGGCCCGTTTCGGGCCAATTAGTTTGACCTCAAACCCGTGCACAAACCTGATATGAGCCGACCCAGGTCAATCCATCAGTGACTGAACCGGTCCGATCCGACCGGATTGACCCATCCCGATTGGGGTTTGACCCAACGAACTGAACCGGTACAGGTCCGATCGGATTTTGTCCAACCGGACTGAACCGGTTCAGGCGAGGTCTAATCCGACCGAACTGATCCGAATCTAACGGTTCAACCACTCTTGAACTTGATGTGGTTACCTCGAAGACAATCCAATTAGATAGTTCAAAACCCGAACATAGTTAAATGGCTTTGCTGCTTGTATAAAAATTACATGTATACAATGTGATTTGAACCTTCACTTGTGTAAATAGTAACTATTATTACCACTAAGCTATGACTAACTTAATTTTTAAAAAGAAGTTAATTTTTTGTTTTAAGTACATAAATATAAGATTAATGGGTTTGATGGGTTAGATAGGGTTAAAACGGGTTTGGGTTGAGTCCAACCCATTTAATTTTATATAACTGGGTCATTAACGAATTGGTGAATTAAATGAATTAGATTGAAACTCAACCCAAACCAAACCCAACCCGCCCAATTGCCACCACTAATCTCTGCTATGAGCAGCAAGAGGCCTTACCAACCACTTGGTTGGCACCTTGCACCAGCAGGAGACCATTCTATCTCTTAACAAGGGGTCTTTGAGGTTTTAGATAATAGCCCCTTTGATAATTTACTATGGACACTTGTGAAACATTGGAAAATGCTAATTAAAAGAATTTAATAAATTTGTTTTAAAGGTTAAAACTTAAAATTCAATTACTATTTTAAGTTGTTAAAGTGTATTGTAACGGTAAAGACCGTTGCCTATTATGTAGGTCACGTAGGTTAGTTTCAAATGTAATGAGAATTGAATATGGTCCTAACAATAAAAGTTGAGATTTAAAAAATTAAATACCTTATTTAGATTTTGGAGTTAAATGCATGAATAATATAAGTTAACAATTAAATAAGAATTAGATATGGGAATGGGAGGTGGGAGCAAATATAAGCTATTTAATAGGAATAAATTAACAATTTAATAGGAATGTAGAGTAAGGCCATGTTTGTTTGCTCTTAATGTCTCTTAGGAGAGGGATAAATATGAATGAGCCGGGGGGACAACCCAATGGGGTGGGGGTGGGAGTGGGGG